AGAAAGAACTGAATTGACCAAAGTAAGACGTCCACCAAGGGATAAGGATTTGTTCTTCCAATGAGACAGTTTTTTTGAGAAAGAATCTGAAAGAGGAAGCCAATCTCTTCTAGATAAAGAGCATTTTTTGAGAGGTAAACGAAGGTATGAGAAGGGAAGGGATCCCACAGAGCAATTAAGAGTTCTAGCAAGATGAAAACCCTTACGAGGAAATCTGCCAAGGTGCTAGAGATGAGTTTTGCTGGAGTTCACAGCCAGACCTGAAATGTTAGCAAATATGAGAAGAATGGTTTTGAGAGTGATCATGTCTGCAGAGGAGGCTTTAGAAAAGATGATAGTGTCGTCTGCAAATTGAAGAGCCCTGATATTGTTTAATTCTCCTTTCAATTGGAGATCAGACAAGTCTCCAAAAATAGCACTAGTAGAGATCATTTTGTTTAGGACATCATCCACTAAAAGAAAAAGTATAGGGGAAAGGGGATCGCCTTGTTTTAATCCCCTATGACATGAAAAAAATCTGGTTGGGAAACCATTAACCATGACAGTAGATTTGGAGGAGGAAAGAATGTGATTGATCCAGAAACATCATCTTTGACTGAAACCTCTAGCTTCAAGAAGGGAAAGGAGAAAATTCCAGTTAACACAATCAAAGGCCTTAAAAAATTAACTTTAATAGCACAGATTTCCTTCTTGCCTAAAGAGCAAAAATTGATCATTTCGTGGGCTAGCATAATGGAGTCAATGGAAGATTTACCTTTTTGGAATGCAGACTGGGAGGAATCTATAAGGAGATGGAGAAATCTGCTAAGTCTATTAGCAAGGATTTTTGAAAATATTTCACAAGAACTGTTAATGAGGCTGATAGGCTTGAAATCCTTGGGGGAGCTGGCACCTTATTTCTTAGGAATGAAACAAATGCATGAGTAATTGATGTTATGAAGAGTTTGAGGATGATGAAAGAGGTTTTGAATAAACGCTATTATGTCCACTTCTATGGAGTTCCAAAAGGTTTGATAGAATAACAGGGAGAGACCATCAGGGCCCGGAGATTTATCTGGGTGAAGATCAAAGACTGCTGCTTTGATTTCTTCAGGAGAAAAGGGAAGATCAAGAGGAGAGAGGTCTAGGGAGCTTCTGGATATAAGATATTCCAGTCAACTGAGAGTCTAGAGTCAGGAGGTTGAAGAAAGAGATTGGAGAAGTAATCAAAGAAGACCCTTTTCGTATCAGACTCAGCAGAGATGATAGAATCATTATCTATGAGGTAGGGAATAAAATTTTTCCTTCTTCTATGAGAGGTAAAATTATGAAAAAAATTGGTATTATTGTCACCCTCTTTCAACCATTGAATTCTAGACCTTTGCTTTCATTTAATTTTGTCACGCCCCGCTTCCCAAAATACCCGAGAATCAGAACGTGAACAAGCTCGCAACGTATTAGATTAAGGAGAATAAATAAATAATATTTCTCCTCAACCTAATATGCTAAGCGTCAAGAAATAAATGTAATGTGAAGTCACAGGTCCCCGATCACAGTTAGCAAGAATATAATAGACAAATTCAGAACAAAAAAATCCATATCACAAATGAATATCATCCAAGACATAAAAATACGGGTCAAACATGCCCTTATTACAAAATGAACAACTGAATGCTGAAGAGATACAAAAATACATCGATCAACAGAAAAAGAAAGAACTGCAAAAGTAAACTAAGACCATCAACTAAGAAAAGATAACTGAACTTTGGCTTCTTCTTCTGTTCTGTCTGCAAGACACCCCTGCTGATAATCCTCTGGCTCCTGACGATCTCCCAGATGGACTTGTTCTTCCTCTAAGTCTGATGTACACCAGAGAAAACAGGTGTATGTCAGCGTGCATAGCAAGACCCCACAAAAGAAAAGAACGAACGAAAACCCAATGCAAATAACGATACAACAACAGAAATAATAAAGAAACGTGCAACTGGAAATATAACAAAATCAATCAAGTAACAATTCGATCATGCAGCTAGCGATCAGAAATCATCCAAGTAAGAAGGTCATACAACTAGATGGGATTAATACTTAAAAATCTACAACAAGAGATGTAGTACGTCAAGCGAAATAATCCAAACAAAGAAACCCTCATGTATATATCATATGTCTCAAATTTTATATAATTAAATATTAATCCCGATCTATGTATGAAAAGAAATACAATTGACCTATAACTCACAAGAATCCATAATCACCTTAGTAACAAGGTCATGTAACTAGTCATTCTATAATAGGTTACTGATCCATATCTCACACAGAGTCAACGCTCATATCATCGGATAACTGACTGTGGAGTCCCTACTAATAGAAATACACGACGGCGACTATGCGAGAACTCTGTCACCCTGTGACTCTCCAATGTTCTGAGCCGTCTAAAATGGAAAATGAAACAAAAGAAAAAGAACAACAACAAAAGCGTCAGAGCGCTAGTAAGATTACCTCCATCCGCCCCTGGGGGAGGGCTACTAAATGAAGTGAAAGCTCTATCTATTAAGGATAGTCTACCTAAATCTGTTTCCCCCGTATCTAATGGTATTAATACACTAGTAGAAAAACGACCAACCTAGACGGAAATTTCCGTCTAGGTTGGTCTACAATCCGTCTAGGTTGGATCATTTAGACGGAAATCCGTCTAGGTAGATTGGTTTATTTTGTTTCCGTCTAGTTTGGATCAAACTAGACGGATTTCCGTCTAAATTGATCAATCTAGACGGAAACCAACTTAGACGGAAGTAACATTTCCGTCTAGGTTGACAACCTAGACGGTTTTCCGTCTAGGTTGTCAACCTAGACGGAAATCCGTCTAGGTTGACAACCTAGACGGTTTTCCGTCTAGGTTGATTATTGCAACCTAGACGGAATTTCCGTCTAGGTTGGTACAGTCTAGACGGAATTCCGTCTAGGTTGCTATTTTTTCAGCAAAAAAAATATATTACAATTTGTATTTCCCTGTACAATTATACCAAAACATGAATACATACAATAAATATTGTATATATGAATACATCCAACCATCCAAATATAATCAAGATTTTAGACAATTCCATTCAAACCCAAAAATATTCAAATCCAACATAATGCACAGATCCAGCCATAATATAATCAATTCCAGCATAATAAACAAATCCAACTATCTACTTCAAAATATGCATCAACCAAGACCGTCTAATATATACATCCAACAAGCATATAAGTATTGTTATAACAGATAAAGCTGTTCATTGCATTAAAAATGTACAAAAAACCTCATAAACCTCATCAGTCGTCGTCGTCGGCAGTATCTCTATCCCGGTTACGAGAACGTGTGCTGCTCCCTCCAATATCTCCACTCTGAATGGTCAATTGCATAATCATTAAGGGGTGTTTAATACATATTAAATATAAATGAATTTATTATTTTAAGAAAAAAATAAGGTACCTGAGTGCTGCTCTGACCAGCACCGGAATTATCGCCAAGCGAGCTTATAATCCGTATAACACCACCATACGCGCTATGAGGAATCGCACCGCTTAAATATTGCATGACATACCCCAGGAGATCATCCATCGAGTTCGCCGTCAGCGCAACTCTTGTCATCTCATTAGTCACTGTATGTAGAGAAAATTTGCAAAGAAGAGAATAAAGAAAATTTGACTTTGTATTTCTTTGATTCCGATTACAATTCGATTACAAAAGAGAGGAGAACGAAATTGGTTCTTCCTCTTTGTTTAAAACTGGGTTCTTCACGGTGGCGATGGAGTGCCTCCCCCGAATGCTTGCGTCGAGTTTGCTCTCCGTTGACGATCTGCACGTCTTGATTCACTGGAACGATGTCTTCTCCTCACGATTTGACGTTGTGGAGAACTTGCGTGGCAAGTTTGAGAACTCTGAACGAGTTTAGAACTCTATGAAAGAGTTGATTTGAACCGAAAGTTCGGTTAATAAGCCAAGGCTAGAAGAAGGCTCTGTGGTCGATCGTTGCTGAAGGATCAAGGCCGATCTCCTCCAAAACCTTTGTTGCGAAGTCCCAGATCCGAAAATGCCAGCCTTGCTGCTAACTCTTCCGTTTCCAAAAGCCAGCCTTCAATGGTCGATTCAAGCTAAGAAAAATCGAACCCTGAACTCAGTTGAGTTTACCCATATTTATAGGGAATTAAGGGGTGTAACCGCCCCCTTAATTCTCTCCATAATGGGGTGTAACCGCCCCCAAATCGTGGGAAATGGTTTTAGAACCGTTCAGCTCATGTTGAATGAGTCAAACAATGCCCACGTTAGCGTTCAGGATCCTAACTCCACATTTTAGACTGAAGACGCGGAGTTGGGTACCAGCAGGGCGTAGAAAAACGCGAGGGTCGACCTTGGCGTTTTTGATGTTGTGACGCGGGGTTCGACCCTGGCGTTTTGATGTTGTAACGCGGGTTCGACCTTGGCGTTTTTGATGTTGTGACGCGGGGTTCGACCTTGGCGTTTTGATGTTGAAACGCGGGGTTCGACCCTGGCGTTTTGATGTTGTAATGCGGGGTTCGACCCTGGCGTTTTGATGTTGAAATGCGGGGTTCGACCCTGGCGTTTTGATGTTGAAACACGGGGAGGACCTCCGCGTTTTGATGTTGAAACGCGGGGTTCGACCCTGGCGTTTTGATGTTGAAACACGGGGATGACCTCCGCGTCTTGCCTTGAAGAGATTATCACCAAGTAATCTCTTTTTGTCATAGCGTTGCAAAGATCATTGTCTTGTAATCTTCGTCTTGGCTCCTTGAGAATATGAGAGTCGTCAGATTGTAACTCCCGATGTTGATTGTGAAGGCTGTTGAAGTAGAGCTTCCATCAGTTGTCGTGAAGGTCGTCAGATTGTAACCTTCAGCAATCTACGCGAAAGTCTTCAGATTACAGCCTTCTGGAAGTCGTCAGATTGTAACTTCCATCATCGGTGGTTGATGGGGGATAAGCTATCTATTGTGATTTTTAGACAGCCTACAGTCACCTAGATATGTAGCTCCGAGTCAATCTTGTCAAGCAAATATGCAGAGATACGTGCGACAAATGGCATAGCCTGGAACCGAGGCGGGGCTGCTCTCATGGATGTAAATGGTGTGGAGGATGTTGTGGATGACCTCATGCTTACGCCGGGTGAAGCTCCAACACCATGCAGAGGATATCTCCCTCTCCTATGTTTAGGGAGAAATAAATATTAAATTTACCTCTCGAATTCAATAATGATAAAAAAATATAAATAGGAATGTAGTATTCAAATTGATTCAAATTTTCTACATCCATACCTATTATGACCCATCAAATGCTGTGTGAGAGTAATGTTGTCCTCTGCAGAAAGCATGTGAGGGTCCGGCTCAGATTGTTCCTCCTGCTGCGACATATACACAGTTGCAGCCTCCTTTGATGCAGCCTCAAATCCCTCCTAAAGCACAAATATATAATTATTTCATGGTAAAGACAATGTTATTTGTGTTCTCATTTCCTCATAATATTAACAACAAAATAGAATTAATAATACTACACAAGATATGTATAACTCTCACCACCAACTCGAGATTTGCCTTGATCTTATCTCGATTCTTCTCATCACCCCTATATCTATCACGGAAAATGCCATACGCCGCTTTCGCCCTCAAGTGTATTGGCATTAATGATTTTCCCTGTCATATTATATATTATCACACTCATAATCATACTAATCATTAAATTCATCAAAATATTAGACGGAAATCTACCGTATCCTGACAATAAACATCCTCCAGATTGGCATAGGAGTGTGAGCCCAAGTGGTGGTCATGCAGCTTCTTTCTTCTATTTTCTGACCCCTTCGTGGATTTATTCTTTTTTAAAAGAAAAAAATTAGCAAATATGCAATAAATTAATATCTTAAAAGTATAAAGTAATTTTCATGAAACTAACCTTGGAGGCATCGCTGTCCCAATACATGAGGAGAGCTGTGAAATGAACCTCGTCAACTCGGGCGTCGAGGTTTAAAAACCTCTGCCAGTCCTCCTCATACCTGTCATAGGTTTCATGTTTGATCTCATGCCTCCATTGTTTGAGAACTGCTTCAACCTTGACATTGAACACATAATTCCAAGCCCCCTCAAAGTCCTCAAGGCAGAAGCAGTCCTGTAGATTTACATACACATTTAGGAAAGATAATTTAATATCAAATACTAATTATTAATAAATAAAAAGTAATAGCAATATGTAGTTACCATAAGCTCTGTCCATATCGCCTCGTATGCGCTCCATGGTAGTTCTCGAAATTGAAAATAAGGGTTGATAATGGTCGATCTACGCACTAGAACCCCAATATATGCATTCAAGCGGGTCGAACATGGACCAACGGGCAAATTAGAACTATTCCACCTAATAATGGCCCTCATTCCTCTTGGTGGTTGTTTAGAATCAGGCTTACCTCTGCCACGTCTGTTCTCGATACGATCCTTCTTAGCACCTACAATAATAACATGATAATATATCATATAATATTACAAAATGTGAAAATTAAAAGGTATTTATCATATTAGCCACTTCGCTCCTTCTTTCCTTTGGGCTGCGAAGTGAACCTTTCTTTCGTGTGCTCATCATTTCACGCAAGTTGCTCTAATTTTCTCGCAGCACGTGTATGGTACCGTTCTCCTGCCGCCAGCCATATTTCTCGCAGCACGTGTATGGTACTTCCTTGCGTCAGCCATAGACTTATGAGAGGCTGGAGGTAAAGGTAAACTAAGATAGTCATGTGTCTTTGGCCGCAAGTCCGTGTGGAATGTATAAGATGGATATGTCGGTGTCCAAGTATCCCCTACATAAGAAAGGAGAATCATTAATATAGTTTTTAATTAACCATTATAATTGAGCATTATAATATTGAATACCTGCATCAGGGGATGGTTCTGGTACTGCATCAGAGGGGCCAGGTGATGAATAACCCGCATCTGCAACAAATTAATCACTATTAGCTAGATAATTAATAATTGATAAAATATATTAAAGTATTAATTAATTTTTATACCTGCATCCGGAGATGGTAGTGTATCATCAGCACCACTACCAGGAGTGATACTACGTGATCGATCACCCTCTAGGTCAAAGAGTCTCTTCATCCTCCTCATCTGCAAATTCAATTATTAACATAGTTAAGAAAAAAAATATACATGCTCATGAGATAAGTTATTATGAAATGCATTGTTCTTATTATGATTAGCTAAAAAACTTTAATGCAGTGTAACATATATATTACATACCTACATCCAACGCCACATTCTGTGCGTAAGAGAATTCTTGCCAAACATCATCAGATGAACCAATTGGTTCACTATAATTATATTCACTTTCTTCAATATTTTTTTCATTGTTATTAGGTAGAACAACAGATCTTGGCTCCTTGTACAAAACCACCCAATCAGATATGACATTCGGATCTCTCACGAAGAAGCACTGATCAGCTTGTTCTGCAAAAATGAATTTCTCATCCGTATATACTTCTCGATGGAGATTGACAAGTGTAAATCCATAATGATCCTTTTGCTTTTTTGCAGGACACCACCGAACCTTGAACATCGTGTAAGTACATTGTTTTGGTTTACCAAACCCGTAAATTACCTCAACAATATCTTCTAATTGGCCATAATATAGTATGTCAGCTAGAATTGGGTTCTGATCTCTTGTACTTGAAAAACATTCTTGAGCAAACAAGCCCATGACCCCACTGTTCTGAGTTACCCTCCTATCATCAGTCTCTAGCGTTCGAAATTTATATCCATTGACCAAATGCTCATTATAACGTCTCACTTCATAATAAGGGCGTTGTGCATGTATAATAATTTCATCTGGTAACGTAGTACCATCAAGAAGTGATTTATCAACCTAAGACAAAAAATTTCAGAATATTTAGGGGATGTTATATTATGAATGTTCATAAATTAATTGTTAAATACTTACATCAAATCTTAACCAATCAGAAAATTCTTTCCTATGTCTTTTCTGAATATTATGCGCTGCATTCCTACCGGTTGTTTCATTCTTAAGCTTCTCCAAATGTCGCCTACATAAACAATATATAAGTTTGCATTGCGAACATTATGTAAAATGAATAGTCTCATCTATATTTCGGGTGTTATTTGTTACCTTCGATAGTCTGCGAACATATCAAGGTTTTCCAGCACATATGCATGAATTTGTTCTAAGAGAGATCTCGGATATTTTTCACGCTTTCTCTCCTTATCTGGTACTTGAGCCGTGGTTTTCTTCTGGCGCATGTAACGTGATGCAAAAATAAAGCATTCATTTGCCACGTATCCTTCAGCTATCGAGCCTTCTGGACGAGCTCGATTGCGAACATTATGTTTCATGGAGCCCAAGTATCTTAGAATCAAAATAACTAATTATTAGCACGGTAATTTCAAAAACGCATATACAAGTAATGAATGCAAAAAAAATATAATTTACCTCTCAATCGGATACATCCAACGATAAGTAACAGGTCCGGCGATTCTAGCCTCTCTTGCAAGATGCTGGGTAAGATGGACCATAACCGTAAAAAAAGAAGGAGGGAATATTACTTCCATATTGCATAGAGTAACTCGGACCTCAGCTTCAAGTTTTTTAAATTCATCTACATCTATGACTTTAGAGCATAATTTTCTGAAAAACCCACAATACTCAATAATAATCTTCGACGCTTCTTTATCCATATTGTTACGGATTGCAACAGGAAGCAATTGATGGAGAAGAACGTGATAATCATGGGTCTTCAGACCTAAGAGTTTTCGCTCTTGCACTTGGACATTATTTGAAATGTTAGCAGAGTAACCATCCGGAGACTTTACTGATTTGAGAATTTCACAAAATCGTTGCATCTGCTCATTTGTCAGTGTAACACGAGACGGAGGCAACTTTAATTTTTTAAGTCCAACATCTTGAGCTTGCAAATCATTTCGGATATTCAAAGCAGTCAGATCTTGGCGCGCCCGTAGATTGACTTTAGAGCATAATTTTCTAAAAAACCCACAATACTCAATAATAATCTTCGACGCTTCTTTATCCATATTGTTACGGATTGCAACAGGAAGCAATTGATGGAGAAGAACGTGATAATCATGGGTCTTCAGACCTAAGAGTTTTCGCTCTTGCACTTGGACATTATTTGAAATGTTAGCAGAGTAACCATCCGGAGACTTTACTGATTTGAGAATTTCACAAAATCGTTGCATCTGCTCATTTGTCAGTGTAACACGAGACGGAGGCAACTTTAATTTTTTAAGTCCAACATCTTGAGCTTGCAAATCATTTCGGATATTCAAAGCAGTCAGATCTTGGCGCGCCCGTAGATCATCCTTCGACTTGTTTGCATCTTGTAGGAGAGTTGATACTATGTTATCACATATATTTTTCTCAATATGCATGACATCTAAGTTGTGGCGGATTTTAAGATTCTGCCAGTAAGGTAGCTGAAAGAAGATACTAAATTTAGTCCATCCTCTAGGTAATGTTTGAGTTTTTGACTTTAAATAATCTCTTACTCTGAGCGGGATAAATTTAGAATATCGATTTTTTCCAAACACAACTTTTGGAAACCCCTCAAGTAATTTTACAATCTCATTACCTGTCAGCTGACGCGGCTTCATTCTCTTCTCAACTGTGCCATCAAACATAGCTGATAACTTACTGTACTTATGACTCAAGGGCAACCATGCACCTTCGATTAAACCAATAACAACTCTTTCGACTATGTGGTAATTGAAGAGCTTCAAATTCCGGACCACATACAGGACAAGCACACTTTCCCTTTGTGGAATACCCAGACAGATTAGCATAGGCTGGAAAATCATTAATCGTCCATAATAGAATAGCACGTAATCTAAACGATTCTTTTAAATGGGCATCATATGTTACAATACCCTCAGACCATAGTTGTTTCAGCTCATCAATTAGAGGCTCTAAGTAAACATCAATATCATTTCCAGGTGCATGTTTACCGGGTATCAGTAATGAAAGTATCATAAATGGCTGTTTCATACAAAGCAATGGAGGTAAATTATATGGCATTAGTACAACTGGCCAAGTAGACCAACCAGAGCTCATTACCCCAAATGGATTGAATCCGTCACTTGACAGACCCAGTCTTACATTTCTGCAATCTTCGGCAAATCGAGGATAAATTTTATCAACATGCTTCCAAGCTACCGCATCAGCAGGATGTCTCAATTTACCATCATCTACTCGATCTTCCTTGTGCCACCTCATATTTTTCGCTGTTTCTTTGTTCATGTACAATCTTCGCAATCTAGGAGCTAATGGAAAATGTCGAAGCACATTGGCTGGAATTTTCTTCTGTGTTACTCTGTCTCCGTTGTAATCCTTATTGAAGAATTTGCACATTGTTTCCACCTAGAAACTCCACATGTCGGACATTCTTGAAGGTCTTTATTGGCCTTGTGGTACAAAATACAATCATTCGGACATGCATCAATCTTATTATAATCTAGACCCAGAGCAGCGACAATCTTCTCAGCTTGATAAGTTGTTTGGGGTATGCTATTCACTCCTCCAGGTATTACAGTTCGAAGCAAATCAAGAAGCATTTCAAAATAATTATCTGACATACCGCTAAGTGTCTTAATGTGTAGGAGTTTTAGCATAAATGAAAATCTGGAGTACTCGGTACATCCCTCATATAAGTCCTTTTCACTATCTTCTAGTAGCTTCAATATTCGTTCTATTTCTGCGGAGGAATGCATATCATCAATATTTTCGGCACTTCCATCATCTCCTACTTCTTCAGCTTCAACATCGATATCATCTTCACTTTTATCTCCGATATCATCCTCGACATTATCATCACCCTCAAATTCTCTAGGTCGAGGAAAAATATCATTCAACATTGTTTTTGTGTCATCTATTCGTTGTCCACCGGACGTACCGACACGCACATTTGGATCCACATCTTCAGTGATACCTTCCCCATGTCAGTTCTAATATTTATATTTTTCATCAAAACCTGATTTCATTAGGTGGATCCGTATATCATTACTATTCAGCAGTTTCAAATTCCTACACATGCAACAAGGACAATACATAGCACCACTTGCTAATTTTCTCGGATTCATTTCTGCATAACGTATGAAGGCTTCACATCCCTCCTTGTATCGTGTGTCACGAAATCTATGAAGCCGTGGGATATCTATCCATGATTTGTCAGGAATTACCCTCATCTGTAAATTATATATAATTATTAACTACGACAAATCACACAACTACTAGTACATTCATGACTCTTATACATACAAAACAAATCTAACATACGTTCATATATCATTTAACAATATAAATTTAGTTCTACATAAAATATATTTGAAACGTACGTAGAAACTAATTACACCAATTGATCGGCTGTCATAGGAAGGCTTCTATCCATTAAGAATATAGTAGTGCTTACATCCAACTTCATATACTTTGTATATTTTCATTTCTTGAAAATTTCGGCAGCACCTACCCGCTGTTCTCCCTGTACACTGTGCGGATGTTATTATGCGTATCAGCAATAGCCCGAAACGCAGAACAACATACGCTTATTGTACACGGAGAACAACGAATACGTGCTGCCAAAACTTTCAAGAATGAAAATATACAAAGTATACAAAGTTGGATGTATGCACTACTATATTCCTAACCCGTCCGAGAAGGACAGATCCAATAATTACGAATTTCAGTACCAATTTTTTATTCCTATAATATAAAATAAACGCTCATTTTTGGAAGAAAACTTCGTCTCCTACCCAAATCTGAGTCGTATATCATATATTATAAGTCCAAATAATTGGATGTAATTATTGGACGGAAGTCTAGGGATAACGTTATTTTTTTATTCACCTAAATTGGATTATAACACATTATAAAAATTTATAATGTGTTATATATCACTCTATTTTTTACAAAAAATTATTTCACATATTTTCACATCACAAACTTAAATAATCACACATACTTATAGCACGAATGAAACTTAAATGAGTTAGGGTTTATAAGTGTTTAAAACTCAATAATGATAACTAGTGTTGTTCAAATGAATTAACATGTATTTAATTAAGTTAGGATTTTCAGAATTGAACTCGTTTATTTTTCAACATAATTAGGGTTTTTAACCAAATTCTAGGTTGCATAGTCAACCTAGACGGAAAATTCCGTCTAGGTTGAGGCAATCTAGACGGAATTTCCGTCTAGATTGTCTGTTCCGTCTGGGTGGTCAAACTAGACGGAATTTTCCGTCTAGTTTGGACCAAACTAGACGGAACAATCTAGACGGAATTTTTCCGTCTACTTTGCTCCAATCTAGACGGAAAAAATTTCCGTCTAGATTGTTCCGTCTAGTTTGGTCGTTTTTCTACTAGTGATACTTAGAAATCTACAATACGAGACGTAGTATGTCGAGCAAAATAATCCAAATAAGAAAACCCTCATATATATACCGTGTGCCTCAAATGGTAGATAACTAAGTATTAACACCGAACTAAAGATAAACCATCTGAAGGAAATCATGCATTGAAAATACATATTTCTCACAATAAAATTGCACATATCCAAGCAATAGATTTGAAGTTAATTTCCTACAAAATTTGCTAAAATTTATTTTTGCAACAAACCAAACAACCCCTAAAAAAATCTGGAATATGTATTTTGCCACTTCTTAAAGGAAACAATATGACATTTTGTCGCGGTTGGTCCTTAGATCTTTGAATGAAAACCTAATAAAAATAGTCCCAATAATTATTTATACTTTGCAGTATGGGAAATCACACCCATAACCATATTTAATGCAACAAGGATGAGGTCCTCAAAGTTCTCGACATCGCCGAGGGATTGGGGCGGAATGGCTGCACCATTAATACAAAGAAAAGGCTACAAACTAACGTTCGATAATTCGGCATTTGCTAAAATTAAAGCTTTGGTTTGTGAGTGTTTGTTTCGAGAAATTTAAAATGTCGACGTAGTT